TATCGCTCATTTGTCGGTCAGTCGCGGATACAACGGCGAGACAAAATGCAGATAAATACGCATTCCGTGGTGGTACGTGTTTCACGTACATAAATAACAGACACGAGTTTTTGCGGTGATCGCGATTCCGAAACCGAAACCTGCATGTTCGCGTTTGCTCGTTGGCATTCGCGGATCGTTCGTGGTCTCATCGAGTGTTAAATGCTTTTCTGCAGAACGCTGTATGTTCCACCGATATTCCTTGTTGATCGTAACAGATGAGAACCGGTTGTCAAAACATGTATGCGTTTGTGCGAAGAAACGCGTGTAAGAACTATTTTCCGCGAGATGTGTATTTAATTATAATAAATGAAAACTTGTCTCACGACGCGAAGGTGTGAGAAGGTTCTTTTTTTAATCTTACAGAGCTGTGAGATGCATTTTCACGAAAGATATACGATAGAATTTTGAAAATTTACGAAGAGCACTTAGAAGTTCACACATACACACGTGATTTTATTTTAATTACGAGCCATTGTATATATACGCAGAAGTTTTGCGAAACTTCTTTTTACGTAACTTATTTACATTGTTAACTAAGTACTCGCAATGATGCATTTTTTAAATAACATACATGTTCTTGCATGTAAACATCTGTCATTGCGGCTAATTTTTCGATTTGGCACGTTTCTCGCAGAACGCGAATTTTTACGGCTAAGTTATTGAAAATTACATGTGAACCTTATAAAAATTGACTATTAAGAAAACGCTAATATAATACTTAACAGGATTAAATTAAAGTTCTTAATAAAGAGTAAATTGTAAATTTAACAAATTTTTCAAGACATTTTTTATACAAAAATAATGTCTATTTATGTAAAATCGCGATTTATATAGAAACGGAAATATAATTATCACAGAAGAGCAGAATATAATATTTTCATTTCCACATTAATATTGAAAAATATTATATGATTAAAATTTTAATATTAATCATAATGATATTTTAATTAATATCAGTATTAATAATAATTTAGTACATTACTCTAATATTATGATTAAACTTTAAAATTATTCACGTTTAATTTTAGACTGCCAATAGTTTATTTATTTCTCAATATTAGAGTACGATAATTAAAACCATGTTTTATTACGTTAAAATAATTGATATTGAAACATCAAAGTTATAATTAAAGGAGTACCAGAAACTACAGTGTACAATTCTGAATCCAGTATGTAGTTTGCGCGAATAATATGGGAATAGTTTGATAGGTTTGCGTTGAACTAACTCGACTTATTCGACGTATTTGTAAGCGATGATGCTCGTAACTTCCCTATACATACGCTTGTGTAAGCAAATTGTCAAAGAATGTCTCAGCACACGATACTACGGCAATGGGATTTGATTCCGCAAGAAAATGACTAGTTACGGTAAATTAACCTTGGATTTTGATTCGCTAGTCTTTTACCATATTGGTAAAAATCTAAGGAAAATTACAAATAAATTTAAGATAATAAAAATATAACAATTAAAGTATGAATATCTGTAAATATTTATAGAAAAGTGGAATTTTATAAAATTAAACGATACTCAATTATGAAAATTCTCTTTACTATGAAAATATACATTCATACAAGCATTAGCAGTCTGATAATGGTTTTTTATTAATGATTTTATTAAATTGTTCTTTTAATTTTTTAAAATTTTAATAACATGTATTTTTCAAGCAAAAATATAACGTTTACGTTAAATGTATTACTTCTTAATAACTTATTATTAATACGTAATAATACAGATTTAGAAGATTGATAGAGTCGAGAAATGTAATGTCGTGATTCTTATTAGTTGTTTCTAGTTTTAGTTTGCCTATCTTCTCAGACGATGCTATCGCTCACAATTCTCTTCGCGTCGAAAGAACATTTTGAGTTTAATGTAACTTTGTCTATGCGGCAGCGAATGCGGATCTTGCATCTCGCCATTGCATTCATTGGCCTAGTTTGGACCGTACAATTGATCCACATACCGAGCACTTCGTGTCGAATCGCACTTCACTCTCTGGGTGCATCACGGCTGCAAGCGGCGCCTTGCGTGTCGTGAAGTACATAATATTGCGCCTTCCATTATTCCATCATCTATAAAGGATGAAAAATGGACTACCGCATATTATCGATATTTTGACTGTCGACTTTTACACCCGCAAAAATGCTTATGATGTAGACGTAAAATTACAGCGCATGCTTCTCTAGAAGGTAGAGTGAAGTTCTGACAAGTTGCATCGTCACGCAAAGGAAAGATTTAATCTTTATCAGGTAATAGTCACGCAACTCTTGTTAAAGTTAACGTTAAATATTGTATTAATATATATGTATAACTAATTAATAAATAAAGACGTATACTTTTTTCATTATTACCTAATTGTTTGTACGAAAGTTTCAAAGGTCGTAAATTCAATTTTTATAGATCAAACACTTTTCAGAACGATATATGTATAAGGGTGATACTTTTTTCGTCAAAGCCTGTTTCTTAATTTTCAACGTAAATAACTACATGATAACGTATTAAATTTATTAACATCATGCAAGATCCATTAAAATATTTTATTTAATCATCTTCATCTCATAATGTAACAAATATTCCCGATCTTGTCACATATGACACGAACAAAAAAAAACTTAGTCACTATTGTATTGAGAAGAATGTGAGCTCATCTTACACGTGTCGACGATTTTATCTTCTTCTGCTCTGCTCTCGGAACAAGCAGTGAACTACGGAGCTGATTTGTTATTTAAATTTCATATTTTCACATTTCAACATGTGACCACATCACCGACGAATCTCAATTGCAGATTGCTCGTCTTTGCCGTGAATGAACACGTATTTATACGAGACTCCGTGAATTTAATGAGGATGTCATCGCTTAACTCTTCAAGATCAATTTAATGTTTAATTATTATCTTAGTTACTACACAGTTCGCACAGTTGTTGATTTATTTTGAAAGCTTTATATAGCTTTATTTGATATGAAGGAATTGATGAATGTTTTGCATATATTGTGTGTGTACTACAGTATATATATATATATTATATAAATATTATTAAACACACATATGCAGACACAAATAAATAAATAAATACTATTTGTGAGATAGATATTTTGTTGTGTATCATGTATTTTCTAAGATTAATCGAGAATCTTAAGATAGACCAAAACAAATATATAACTCGAAATTTGTTCATATATATCACGTTGCTTTGTTCCATAAATAAAACAATTCCTAGCAACAAAGTGAAATGTAAATAATTTAATTAAACCCCCGATTAATTAATATTTAATTTGATAGTATATTGGATATTTTACTATTTTTTTTTAATGAAAGAGATTAAGTACGAGTATATGCAAATGCGATTAGTCATATATCGTAAATAGACTATATTCCCCTATTGGCAATAAACTAAAGTAATAAATTATTCTTCAATAAGTAGAGTATATGAAATACAATTATAAATATATATTTATTGTTATATCTGAATGTAATTTAAACGTAATAAGAGATGTTATTAAACAAAAAATTAAATACAAAGATACAAGAATAAGCGAGGTCGTTTAAAGAACATCAGAATCTATTCTCTATTTTGGAATTTGATTTTCAGCATTTCCACGTGCCTCGTTATCAACGTAATGCAAGTCAATAAATGAGCTGTTCATGTATTAGATCACATGAGACTTCACCCGCATTGTCAAAGCTTATTTATTTATATATCGTTCGTGGCCATTTAAAGGAGCGTATCAGTGACGCTTTCTTCCCGTTCCGTATTTAATTTAATGACGTCAAGTATCGTACCGATTATCTCGATAAACGATAATCCATTATCGCGCGTTGGCTGTCTGACATTTTGTTATCGAGCTGAAGCTCTGCACTTTTAAACAACGGCGCAGTAATATAGGGATAATTCTTTGATAAAAAATCTTATGAATTTTATAAATGGTGTATGATATATAGTATAACCGGAAGTTTAAAGTAATTTTACTTGTCGTAAAATTATCGTCGTGAAATCATAAGCATTATTAATAATACAATTTTTTATAATAGAAAAAGTTATGTCATAATCAATTTCTTGATTGATTCTTTATTGTGAAAAATTTACGAAAATTTTCGACTTTCTAAATTGAAAACTTAAAATTTTTCTTACAAATTGTTTTCTGATAATGTTCCTAAGATTTTTTATTAGAAAACTGAGTTTATTAAACTGGTTTATTAAACTGAGTTTATTAAAATTGGTTTATTAAACTGAGTTATCGCAAAATAAATAAAAGATTTGACGAACGCATTTTGAATGCTTATGTAATTCCTAGTTAAAAATTATCGTATTATGCAATTCAAGTAAAGGACTATACCCAGTTTGGACCCCGGCTGAACAGCATTGAGATCTAGCTAGAATTATAGAGTATCAAAAAAGAATTAAAAAGTTCCATATGCACAACTTTGTAAAATGAGTCCCTTGAGTGCTACAGCTGTTCAAAGTTCGCTATTATGACATGTATTGTGTACCATGTAGGATCGGTTTTATTCGATTTCTCAAATCATCTAATATCCGGAATATGTCCAATCTTGACGAAGACAATTAAAATCTTTTTTGGACCCCAAATGAATAGTTATAAGTGATAGATATTAATCGATGAAGAGGGGAGAGAGACATTCAAAGTATGAAACAAAAGGTTTTAATTGAAATGTGGCAATATATGTTCTAGGAGCACTCAGGAAACCTCTCCTATAAAGTTAAGCTTGTGGAATTTTTTATTCTCTTTTGATACCTTAAAATTTTAGGCATGTCTCAAAGTTGTTCATCCGGAGCCCAAATTCTCTTATAAAACTGGGCATAGTCCTTTCGTCGACAAGAAATAGCGATAGAAAATGCTACAATATATAAACGTTGTTACTATTGTTTCTAACACTTCAATGATCTACTCGTAATTGTAAAAGTAGATCATAGATGAAAAAACAATCTTCTTCTTTTTCAGAGGTTCTGCGGTCGATAGTTCTCCCTCAAATTCACCTACTTCGAAGACGACAGGTGCTTCTGACACTGAACAATTATCAACGGATGCGCCAGGCCCGTCGAAAGTGCTATCGAGTCCGGAGTACATCCAAGAAGTACGCAAAGACAGTGCATTGTACCTTGAAGAGGGTGAGGGTACGCTAAAGACTGTGACACAAACTACTACTGATGTTCTCCGAAGACAGAGCAGTGGCTACGTGAGCCGTCGAGATAGTTTGGAGGACAACAGAAGAAATTCCACGAGTGACACGCAACAGCAAGAGAAGGAGAGATACAAATCGAAATCAATAACTCTTGGAGCCTTGATTGAGGATCTTGCTGGTAGAAAAGAGGAGAACATTGAGGAGAACATTGAAAACATTAAGCCATCCGCAGAGACAGCGAAGGAGAGAATGCCAACGACAGAGATATACAGAAAGGTGTCGAGCTCTGACCTCGACATGCCCGACGTTGATGAGGCAAAGGAGGTCGTCAGAGAGAAAACTTTACCCCGGCAAAAGAGTTTCGAGACCCAAGAGATCACCGATGGACTGACGACACGTCTCAGTAAGTAAACATGAGTCACTGTTAATACGATCAAGTTAGATAAAGCGAAATTCTCTCCATGGAACGCATAATTAAAGAGTCCTCCGGATAAACATCGTAGGCAAAATAATTTAACAAGACCGAAAACCAATCTAAAGTGTTCTTATATATAATTTCATTATATATACATTATTTTAATATACAGGGTGTCTCAAAAAAACGGATCGAAACACAATGGGGACGTAGATTGGATCAAGGGGAACAAAACAGTTTTGTACCATTTTGCAGTTGACACAATATTTAACGAGATATTAACGTTTAAAGATAGGCGAATACAAGCATTCGACCAGCCTACTGCTCATGTACTGCTGCCGGCAGGACGGCCTACCATCCCCACCGATCGCATGACGCGCTGGCCGGGCGGCGCGGGCGGGCCGCGAGGTGCGGGGATGGCCTAGCAAGCGAGCCACTCAGAACGGCGCGCATGGGGAGGAGAAGGATAGCGCTTGAGCAGTAGGCTGGTCGGACGCTTGTATTCGCCTATCTTTAAACGTTAATATCTCGTTAAATATTGCGTCAACTGCAAAATAGTACAAAACTGTTTTGTTCCCCTTGATCCAATCTACGTCCCCATTGTGTTTCGATCCGTTTTTTTGAGACACCCTGTATATTACTTTCATTCAAAAAAATAGATTAATTGTTATATGATTTAATCTCTTTCAAAACGTATTTTTTAACTTTCTCAATTTTGTTACTTAATGAAACGATTACTTGATGAGTAAGATAAAAAAATGATAAAATTCTTGAAATTCATGTATAATTATATAGAGAGTCTTCCGAATAAATATCGTAGGTAAAATAATTTGACAAGGTGCTCTAACTCTAAAAAAATCGCCGACATTATTTAAAAAAATGTTTTTATATATAATTTTATATACATTACTTTTATTCAAGACAGATTACTTATTATATAATTTAATCTCGTTCTTATAAAGCGTATTTTTCGTCCCTTTCAATTTTGTTACTTAATGGAACGGTTTCTCGAGGGTAAGATAAAAAAAATGACGGTATAAAATATAATTTCCTTCAAAATTAATTTGACAGGATTTTCACTGTTCTTAATATCTTCTTAGGCGATATGCAAGTGACGTCTATTTTCAAGAACCCCAATATTTACCTTCCGCGCAATAGCGGCAAAAATGCACCATCGGACGAGGCGGGCACGACTCAGCGAGTTGACACAGTCATCGATCATTCTGGCGGCGACTCGAATTGTAAGAATGTGCACAAGACAAACGTGGAAACTATTATTGCCTCGGATAATAATCGGACTGTAGATTTGAGAAAATTATCCTTGCCCGACGAAGCAGGACCGAGCCAGCGACTGTTCGAGAAAGCTGACGTCACCTACAAATCCGTTCATTCTCGCTACCCTCACGCCAGCCCTCATAGATCGCCCAGGAAACGCATCAGAGCGCTCAACAGGGAATGTTCCGTCGATAGCCAGCATGACAGCCAACAGCAATTAAACCAATACAAAGTGCTGAACGAAATCGGAAAGGTGAGATTAAAATTCCGTTAAAATCCACTTAATCAAGTAAAAAATAATTCTATCATTTATATTTGTCCCTAAAAATTGTAAAAGTTTTTATATAATTACACTGTTAGAAATGTTTGTGAATTTACAATACTCTTACAATAAAAATGTGCAGTAAATTTATAAACCATATAACGTTTTGTTGTGATTTCATAATATTTGTAAATTTACAATAGAAATTTGTTGTGAATTTACATAACTGGCGTGCCGCGCTTGTGTATTAGAGATTTGCATATGCTTTACCACAAAATTTTATTGTAATTTCATAATACAATTGTTTAAATTTACAGCACATTTTTGTTGGATAAAAACTTCCAACACTTTTGGAATTTTACAACAAAAATTTCTTACAGTGTACATACATATAACTTAATCACTTATATCAAAATCATTAGAAATTGTATAGATGTCTTTGTTAGGAGAGAATCAACTTCGAATTTATGAAATAATTCACATGAAAAAAATTATATAAAATACTTTGCATACAATTTATTAAATAACGAATTGATTTTTCAATTGTCAGAATTACAGAAGAGTGTGCATAATCTTTAGAAACATTTCATTGTTAGAAATTTTATAGCAAGTAACAATTAATCACTTATGTATAATATTATACAAACAGAAAGCAAATCTCTTTAGCCCGATTCATAAGTGGAAAATATTCGTGCCGAACTAAATTCATTTGCGACAGTCTAATGCCTTTTCAATTATGTCCGCGGCATTTTAACAATCAAGCTGTATTCATCGATAAGAGGATCAACGGATCGCGTTTCTCTCATTGAAGAACGAAACCATTTCACGGCGCTCACGTAACAAACGCGAGAATGATATGATTATCGATATCGAGCACGCGGGTGCTTTCTCGATAACCAATAACTCGTGCCGTGAGTCATCATTTTCAGCAATTTCCCCTCTTGCCCATCCTTCGTACTTGTTAAGAAGTAATTAACAGCCGCGCAGTTACGGATTACTGCCGATAATTATGTTATATCGCACCCGATAACGCAATATTGCCCGCAGGACTAGAAGTTTAAACGACGCAGAAAATTATTAAAATCATTATCTTCTTGCGCAATTTTTTTATTCAATCATTATATTGTCAACGTTTACGAGATAAATAAATTGCAAATTTTTTTCCTGTCTACCAATATGTTAATTTGCTGACACGTTTTCTCGAGAATTGTTTGTTACATGGCTCCTGTCCAACGAGTTAAATTTTTTTCTTTGAAGTACCTATATACGTATTTATCTTTCATTTTTAGCTTAATTTCTGTTATTTTCAATTAATTAAATAAAAACTCGAAAATGATAATTTTAATAAAAATGCTTAATCGCTTTCGTACGAAAATTAGAACACAAGGAAATAATACTGAATAAACATGTGGAACAGAATAGAAAGGTTAAAAGTCACTGACACTTTTAGAAAAATAGCAAATTCCGTTTGATGTAAATGACGCTCGAACATTCCCTTCGAATAAAAGCGCTCACAAAAGCCAGTACGAAAATGAAAATGCGAAGCTCAATGCTTACGCTTATCCAGTACAGCGTGATTGGATTCAAAATAAATGCAAGAAAAAAACAAGACAACCGCCGCAATAACTTCGCACTTTGCTATTACTGAGTGAAAAGCGCGAAGCTTCCAACTGCGAGGAAAAGTTTGCAGCGCACGATCTTGAGGTTCGCGTCGAGAATTCCAAAGATCGTTTCCCCAGAGACCAAGAGAGAGATAGAGAGAGAGAGAGAAAGAAAGAAAATATAGTACTTTTTATAAACAAGGGCAAATGTCATTCCATGTGAGATTATCTTTAACGAATGGTAGATAGAAAAAGAGAGAGACGAATTCGCGAAGTTCACGATTAAATTTTTCTTTCCTTACCATATCATTTAAAACTACATTCAAACTCGAGATTGAATTCTTCATCGGGGTAAGAGCCATCGATTGAAATAGAGTTTGATGTCGACGATTAATTTTTTCAACTTCGTGATATTGAAATGTTCCAAATGCGCAATCGCCATCGTCGCATTCATAAACAATATATTAATACATATATATCGATCTGGCTTTTTCTCGGCATCTAATATCGTTATCGGTATTGATTCTTCTCCTCTACTTCATAATTATATAGTAAAGATTTTATCGAGACAAGGAAAAACCAGATAATCATTATACCGATTACTATATTGCGTCAAGAGCTGTTTCTATGTGATAAATTAATTCATTTTATGAGTGAATTAATTAAAACTCGTTGAAATAATTGTAAGCGATATAAATGATGTAGCAATATTCTAATCATAAAAAATTATTTTTTAAAGTTATCCTTGTCAAATAATATAATTGAAAAAACACATAAAGTCAACTTTGGAAAGTTACATTCATTATTAGGTGCGAGATTAAGCGTTATAGATACATTTTTAAATTTGCTCTTATCTTATATATTTATAACGAAATAATGACCACGACCGGACGTGCTCAAAGGTGACCATACCGTGAACTATAAAATTATGCTTCTACTCCCGATAGCATCGCCGATGACCTTCGACCTAGTCTCCACGGTGATATAAAACGCATTATGATAACAGCGCAGCTGAACCATAAAAAGGGTTGCAAGGTTAAGGTAAAAGGATGCGAAGAGAATCATGAGATTATCGATAAAATCTTCCATAACTTCTCTTAATATTATGTTCATCCCAAAGTATTATTTAACAATATTTTTCGTATCACAACGTCAAGACTATTCCATTTGAAAACATCCGCGTCAACAAGAAATCGTCGTATTTAAGAAAAGAGGAAATATCCTCTAAACAAAAATAATCTTTATTAAAAGAAAAATAAAATACTATATTAAGGATATTACTTCATTGAGATGAATGAATAATTTTTCATATTTTTATCGAAAAAAAATATCAAATTGAAACTCTTTGCTATTTATATCGCATAAATAAAAATACTCTTGACGTTGACGATGACCTTCTTAAAAGCATTCAATAAAACGTTTGTTTGTCGAGAATGTCGAGAGAATGAAAAGTAGAGAATAAAAGCAGAGAACCCCTAAAAATTTCAAGCGTCGCCTGAGATCAAACAGGAACGCGCTGTGCTTTCGCGCCTTCACTTATGCATCACTTCGCACTTGCACAGGGCTCATTCGGTGTCGTGAAGAAGGTTTTCAACGAAGAGGATGGCACGTATTACGCCATGAAAATAGTGAGCAAGAGGAAATTAATGAAAAAAACAGGGATATTTGGGAGAATACCACCGCGCAGAGCAGGCGCTGATCCTTTGGCGAAAGTTTACAGGGAAATCGCCATTCTGAAGAAACTCGATCACCCCAACGTCGTGAAACTAGTCGAGGTACTGGACCATCCCGACAAAGATAATCTCTACCTGGTCTTCGAACTAGTCCATAGAGGTGAAATCCTCCTTATACCCACCGATAAACCTCTGAATGAAGCAACAGCCAGGCGTTATTTTCGCGATGTTGTCTTGGGAGTCGAATATTGTAAGTCATTATGTATTCTACATACTTATAAAAACTAAAAATTTTTTGCAAAGAATTTTTTCCTAAAAATTCTAGAAAATCCTATACGATTCAAATGATTAATTATTAAAATTAAATTCCATCTCGAAATTAATCAACACGTGCAACGTTTTGAAATTGATTTTAGTTATGTTACCACAAATCGAATAATATGTGTATAAAATTTAAAATTTCTTTCTTTTCAATCCCGTTTTTATCTCCCTTGGAAAAAAAAATTTCCAAATTTAGAGGGTTCCAAATTTAGAAGGCATTTTAATCATATAGCATACGCCCACATTTAGCATAAATCATGTTTATCACGTACGCGTTAAATAATAGAATGCAAATCCTCTCGACAGGCGGATTTGCGTAATGTATCTGGCGCCTATTACGGATCACAACGTTCATCGCGGATCAATGACGAAAGAGGCGTCATATACATTACGTAAACTCAATGATCGTGTTAGTATACTTTACATGAGAGTGTAGTATAGTCGCGTTAGACACTATTCGATAAAACATCAAGCTGCTTAGATAATAATCGACTTAAAACTTGTAACACCAGTCTTACTACGTGGAGAAGAGGGATAAGTAAGATGTATTCATTAGTTACGTAAACGATTTTCAAGTCAAGAAATACTCCGTATAATTATGAACATATAATATATTCAGACTTTTAGAATTAAATTTTAATAAAAATTGTGTGATCGTTAAAAACAGTATTATATACAATAATATTAATTTTTTCTTTTCGTAGTGCATTACCAAAAGATAGTGCATCGTGACATAAAGCCAAGCAATCTATTGGTGGATAGGGACGACAGAATTAAAATCGCTGATTTAGGTGTCAGCACGGAATTAAGAGAATCTGGAGAATTATTAACAGGACAAGCTGGTACACCGGCTTTCGCAGCGCCTGAAACAACCGTTGCTAACGCACAGTACTTGGGACCGGTAAGTCACAGCATTATATATTATTCTCAAAGTATAATGTACAATCGATATCCGGACACAAAAAGAGAATCCGGTTCAAGTAGAATATATATTCCTAGTAATAAATTCCTAATATATTCTAGAAATAAATCTCTAGCATACAGAGCCGCGATCACATTAAAGTATAGTAACTTAAAAATTATCGCCTCTAATACGTACAAAAAAAATCCTATTATATGCAGAGTTAATTATCATATGGCTAATGATAACGATAATTTATAGCAACAATCTGATTCATAAATATGTTTTACAGAAAAAAGAATTCTATTACATGCAGAGTTCTAATTTTTTTAATGCGTGACTTATTTTCTTTATCATATAATTCATCTACCGTGCCAATCTATCTCCTCTTCTTTGTTGTCTGGTTTATTAATTATTGAAACCGGATTTTTTTGAGCGATGAACACATGTTTCTATTCATTGTGTTCTTCCATTCGCGGAATCCGATACGCTCGCGATACACATTTGCAATATTCACGACGACGCGGCGCGTTGGAGTCGCAGTGAAACAAGATCAGACAACAAATAACGCAGCACTCATCCAAGCGACCAGTTTCGTTCTGCGAGATTAAAAGTCGATAAATCAGCCGGCTATTACATGTCACTTCCACCCGCAAGCAGTGACCTCTCAAACCGTAGAGACGACACGTGCGGATTGACCTACATGCATCGGGAGAGAGGTTCCCGATCAAGGACCCCTCGCGCGGTGCATAAATGTTCGTGATTATAGCAAAAAGAGATTTTCCGACCACGTCACTCCCAGGCGTCGATCTCAACTGATTGAATGCGCTTCAATTAGAATCGTTAATCGCGTACATCGCGTCGCCTGCTCCGAATAGTCTTTGAACGAACTGAGTGTAGTAATGCAATATGACGAACCGACAAAGAAAGGCGCAACAAAGTGGCCGATGCAACAGTGAGGCAATTTGCATGTCCCAGCTGCGTTGAGTTCATTAGGTTGCATACGTTGCAGGCTCTAAGCGCGGAGGAAAAAAAAGACTGACGTTGCGGGCTAATTCTGAATTTTAGAAGGTTTCGCATTTTACAAGCGGGATGGTTTTGTATTTTATAAAAGCGTTTTAATCAAGCAAAAACCTGCAAAACAATAGGACTGTACAAGATATATTCAATGTTACAAAAAATGAATTTTATTAAAAATACTTTCAGCCCTCTTTGTTTTAGCGATAGCCTTATTCATCAAATGAGGATCTTTCTTGAACAAAAATTTTACAATACGGCAGCTTTTTGTTATTCGAAAATAAACCTGATATTGATGTTTCATGAAATGAAAATATATGCTCATAATACACACGCATGGTATACATATATATTCGAAAAAACATAGAGATAGTAATTGCCAAGCTTGAATGGTTATATTTCATCCTGTTTTTTTTCTCTTTTTCTTCAATCAATGCTTCACGATGGAATGCAATTTACACGAATGTGTTTCCTGTGAATATTGATTGCAACAAAAAAATCTAAATATAGCAATTGAATTTTAAACTACAATCATGTTTAAACTATCATGTTACGTGATGAATATATGTTAGAAAAACATGATACTAGTATTAGATATTAGAAAATCTTCGAATAATATTATGGTAAATATAAATACATTATTTCAAAATTAAATTATTGTCAAATGATCGCAACTCTTCATGTTTTACTGTTTGTAGATCTGTAAATTTTTTAATTCTCTACAAAGCGGTAAATTATCTTTGCTCTGCTATATCACAGTTAATCGAATTATGAGTAAAAGATGTCTCGACTTTTGCTTTACACGCAACGTATCGTAAAACCATACAAAAAGCTGAGCCAACTGTTATTTTTCGCTCTCTTTAATGCGCAACTATCAAAGAAGGTCATAGTTCAGTTATCTTTCAGATTATACCTAGATCATGTCAACCCTCGTGCCATTCATAACCCTAATATAATCACCGTCAAGATTTTCTCATCAACTCCCCTGCCGTTTTTTAATATCTCCGGTTTCTTTTCGTATCGCTCATTTCTAATTATATCTTTTGTATCTTCTACTTCAGTCGCTAATTATCACAGTAACTTAATTATAATTCGCCATCAAGTGTATCTACTTGCACGTCAAAGAGATATAGCATACATGTTAAGTAAATCGAAATGTTTGATCGTGTTGGAAAAGACGCGTTGTAACTTTGTCGTAGAAATGATACAAATTTTGTCTAATTAATAGCGAGCGTAAAATTAACACAAATCAATCACGCCATTACGCCTTTGACTATTCAAGAGGAAGAAAGCGGCAGCGAGAAAGAGAAGGAAAGAGATAAAAGAGTATATTTTAGCACAGCAATTATAATTCTGTCCTCATATATCTTCAAGATTACTTGGTTGAGAGTCGAGACTACTGTTATCGCATGACCTTATCGACATACCACAGCCGATCGCTTGAATTTCCGCTGCGTCGAGGAAAGGCGATATCTATAATAAGAGACTCACGACCCGCGAGACCACACGCTCGATTACGCTTAATCAAATCGCCGTGGCAAAATAAATGGTGATCACCAGCCCGACGAGACGACGTGCTTACGTGAAAATGCGACGAGGGGAAATCGGGAGTGTACCCGTAATATCTACAAAATTGCCCATGATCCCTAAATAAAAATACACAAGACTACTCGAAATCTTGTGGAATTCAATGGAAACACGAGAAAAATGGGAAGCTTGTGACAGAATTGGAGCAACATTTCGCTGAGCACTCAAAATTTAATAAAAATATTTTCATTTTTATATTATTTCAATATTGGCTACAGACTTTTCTATTGGCTCAAAATGTCACTTTAACTTTATTCTGCATAACACATTGAATTAAATCTGGACATTTACAATTTTCTAAAATGCTCCGTGGAATTCCACAATTTCGAATATATTGTCGCCAATATTTCTTATTTACTTAATTCTTGCTCTGATTTATCAATTAAAAAGAATTTTAGAAATAGCTACAAACACTGTAGTTATTCATCGAAAATTTAATGATAATTAATAACAGCTTTTGGCAAAGTATTGAGTGAAATCTCACTCCAAAAGACTGAAAATTAAGCCAGTCTTGAAAAAAGAATGAAAATAATTTTTATTCTTAAACATGAATAGCAGATATTTTCACTCTGTGTATGAGATTTCATTCTTTTAAAATAAGATTTCACTCTTTTGGAGTAACTCCAAAAAAAGGAGTAAGATTTCATTCCTTTGGAATCTCATTCCAAAAGGAAAGATGAAATCTTACTCTAAAAGAAAAAGAATAAAAATGTTTCACTCATGTTCAAGAGTGAAAAATTTTCACTCTTTTTTCAAGACTGGTTCAATTTTCACTCTAAAAGATTTACAGAGTAGCATTTTGGTATAAATCATTATCCTAATATTCATTTTTTTATACCTATAAATTATTACTGTGATACACCTTCACATTTAAAGCAATATCTACGTTTATTTACTAAGACATCAAACTAATAAACGTAATATTTGCAAAACTTTTTTAGATAATCTTTTATGCATATATTTTTTAAGTTTATATATATTTCGAATTTTTCGCGAGTCATATCTCTCTTGTTTTATTTTTATTTAATTCTCACAGTCATTTCGGTTTAATAATTTTTTACGTACAATATGTACGTAGATTTTGCTTTTTTTAATCACCAGTTTTACAGTACTCTTTTGCCGCTCGTATTTACAGATATCGATTTTAGATTTTACTTTTTCCCTTGACAAAGAATGTTTCCAACTGCTTTTTATTAGCAATTTATTTTCATAACAAAAATATCTCCCTTTTGAATATTTTGATCCTCAATTTATTCCATATATGTTCGATACAAAATATTTTCATCGTAATTTAAATGCGAATTTTAATCATCCTTGATTTGAACTTTTTCATTTATTTTACACTTACTCTTGAAAACTAGATCGATGGATTACATCAAATCTATTTACTGCAAAAATCCGATAACAATTCCATTTATGAATGCGTTAGCTAATGGGATGGATTACAATAAAAAGCAGTCTAGAGGGAAAAGTACACCTTTCAGAAAAGTTCAAAATTTTATAACGAAGCAAGTTGTCAAGCTATAAATAGATAAAAAAATCTTATTAATTAGATAATCTGAAGTAGGTATAAGTAGAGTTTAACAAAACTTTACATCAGGCAAATAAACAGAATTGTAACTTTTTATAAAGTTTACTACTCTCGCGCGTCTTTTATGAATTTTTATCTCAATACAAATAATATATTTTACTTATTCATTCTAACAGAAGAATTATTTCAATTGCAAAAAACGCATGAATAAAGAAAGTGGTACAGAAACACGCAATATCCACAAATCAACTCGCGTTCGTTTATCTTCCACATTACATTTTCACATTACTGAAATTCCAGGGAATTTCCTTAACTAATTTGGCGGTTAACGAGTTTGTTCAATTAAGGAATATAAACGTGCACGATGCATTACAAATTCCGAGCCTTCTCAGCATAGTTACGTATGTGCATTTAGGTTGAAAGCTTTTCCTTCGAAAACCACGAGTATCGTAAAATACAAAATCATTTACGGAACGATAATGTATAACCAACAATTTAAGTAGATGGGGAAAAAATAGTATAGAAGTTAATCTTTAAAGATCAGATAGATATTATTCATGCGTCATTTACGTCTAACCGGCTGAGAGTATTTTTTAAATGTCATAGTATGGAGTTCACGGACGTTTAGGTTTAGCTTTGTGAGAGAGAGACTGGGTTTCCCGTAAGCTTTTTATACATAAGAAACGTTCCCTTTGTGGATCTAATAAACATAGAAGCTTGACATTTACAGATTTACGGAAGGCACGCGTGCTGGAAAGATTTTTGTTTAAAAAAAAACCACTCAGTGTGTCTCAATGTAAACGGAAAGTAATATTGAAGAAAATTAATTGAAATACAGAGAATTATCTTAATTTAACGGAAAATGTATATAGATATCCTTTTACCTTATTCATGAAGGGATTTCCTCGAAAGGTTAATAATAAACTTTTTAGTAAACTAAACAATAGTAAGAGATAATTATCGTTTATATTCTGCCCCGCCGGATTTGCGCGGCGTATTTACGTTGTTTTGCGCAAACGTTTAATTAATCGCCTTTAATTATGTACCGACATCACGTCGTTACGGACCTCACGATTTTCACCATCGGCGACGTGATTTCCGCAAATGAAGCATCCTCCTGACTGCACCGTATTAAAGCACGTCGTATTCTATTCTCTGTTCTGCGGTTAAATGCGCCGCGTATCGAGACTTTAGCTAACAGTTTCCTAGTGTGTTATCGCTCATTTAATAGCATCATCATATTTCAAGATCTACTACATTGAACACGTTTTACCACTCTCAAACGGTCGTTAATGAACCTCAGTGCTAAACTATCAAAATTTCTGAAGAATTTCTGTAGATTTAAAATGTTTTAAATATTAATTTCAACAAGACGTTTTCTAAAAAATTCAAAAAAGGAACGAGAGCGGATTAAACTTTAAAATTACTCTATTTATTTCATTTAAAGTTCACACGAAGTCTAATGAGTTTAATAACCATTTTTCATCGTGCATTAAAAAAACTATTCAACGCACATCTTGAAAGCTCTAAATAATAAACTCTGTTGCGTCTTATTCTAAAAATAATTTTGAAAATATATTTTTTAAACTGGCCTAAAGTTTTAGGTCGATATTCATAAACAATCGATACTTATATGTATCGATACTTATATACATCAAGACCATCTTAAATACAATTGTTTTCTATTTATATCGAAACTCAGATAATTCTCATTTGTGACGTCATAACGTAGTTAAACGCATGTTTCTTTTTATTCGATCTCTGACAAGTAAGATTCAATTGAGTTTTTTATTATTTATAACCTGCACAAGTTCAAGACCGTGTGCTTTACTGACAATGAGTCTTGTTAACCCACATTAAAAGTGAAGTTGTAAACCTGTGATGTTATGCGATAACTTTGTCACTAAAGTAAGCAAGGAATGACGTCATTAACCGAGTATAAAATACTCACATAACTTTAGACTTATGCCCGTATTTATAGTCAGATCTTATATTTAAAGCTTCCTTAAATATAAGATCTGAATATGAATACAGGCATTAGTATCACTTGTGTGAAAATGGAAAGCAATTGGTATCTTAAGATGTTAATACGATTCTGTAACTGGTTTATGATATTTTAAGGCTGTACACTTAGACAGACTTAAATATAAGAATCATCTATAAATAACGGCCTTAAATGACAATCTCAAGCAATTTGGAATTTATTTATATCAAATGATTATATAGATTACACTCATGATTGCCAGTTCTCGGATTTCCGACCGGAGATTTCGGTCTTTTTGAACGAATCTTCGGTTCTCTGACTGACGAAAAACATTTGACGGCGTTTTTTTTACGTTTTTTGAAGGAATTACAGTACAGTAAAAATTTTGAAAGTATCATTTGAAGTATCTTTTGGAAGTACTCTCTTAGCAGTCCGATCTTCGGCAAGATAAATGAAATCTCCAGTTTTTAAACCGGAGAAAACTAACAACCGTGATTACACTGAGAGAAAAACTGTATTTGTAACTATATTTTACATATTACTATAATTATAAAATTCAAATAATATAATTATATAGTAATGATTGAAATTATTCAAATAACTATAATTATTGTCATATATATTTTCGGTTGTCAATTATATACAGGGTGTCCCATAACTCACCTGACAACGCTCATGAGCAGGTAGAGCAGACTAAACTGAGTCGAAAAGTCCTCATATATTGGTTGATAGAACTACACATATAGTTATTATTACTAATACCATAGCAGTCATAATAATAATTATAATATGTTTCTAATACCAAAAAGTTTTCTCTCAGTGTAGATTGTAATTAAATTTCGGAATCGCGCAGAAAAAGAAGATATTTCTCTCTTCTCGCGTCAGACAAATTCGATTCCGAAAAAGAATTGAAAAATTACGTAAGTAAATGAAGGACTCACCGTATCTGCCAGATATCGCCGTTCAAGCAGCAATCGCCTGTCTCGATTTACCCATTGCGTCGAATCATCGATGCTCCTCAATGCAAATGCTCCACTCGATCACATTACACTCGCGCAATAAACCGGCACAATGAAGCGATTGTCCGCAGATTTATCCGGCACTCCCGAACGATTCGACGAAAACATGATCGACGTCGATCATAGGTAATGCAACACGATCGCGATCACCCGCAGATCCTCTCGACTTTTGTCACGCGGCGACGCGTCCTCGACGTGAAAAATTCCGAGAACTGGCGGACCGATAACAATCATGGCGGACACGAATGCCGACCGTTTATTGCAGAGATTACTCGATCGCCTCCTCTTCTATCTCCTCAGGCGCTTTCCCTCGACGCTCCACAGATGTTGAATGACACTCGCGACGCAGGACGAGCGGAGCAATGCCGAATAGGCGCATGTTTTAAAGCGTAAAACACTCTCGCGTCGGTTCAATAGAACGTACAGCGACGTCGATCGCGAACGAATTTCACGCATATCGAGAAATGCATGTTCACGCGGATGAATCAACGCATCGAAACAATCCCCCGTCGCTAGATTAAACATTCCCGATACTACAACGTATGCGAAATTTATCCGGGCTGGATAAACAAACACGAAAGCGCGAAACGACCATAATTCGTCTTCGCATCAGTGATGACGGCGATGACGCGCGGTGTGAACTGAGCGGCGCACACAAAATTCGGTTACGTGAGCAACTTCGCGCGTCTATCCGAAGTCTCTAACGCGTCAATTCGAATTTTAATGCTGGATTCACGCTGCATCCGATTTTC